TAGGATATACATAGTGTATCTATTTATTTATGGTATATCTATGTGTATCTATGCTGTGGGATTATATATTTTTGTATGTATGCTTTGTTTTGAATGCTTGTTTGTGATATTGTCTGTCTTTCTGTGTATGTGTGTGTGTGAGAGAGAGAAAGAGAGAGTGTTCGTTTGTGTGTGTGCGCGCGTACACATGTGTTTGTACGTGTATATCCTAATTTTTTATTTATTAAACGATAAAATACAGGTTTGGGTTCAGAGATCAACTCGCGACAGCATTGTATCGGTCGGACTATTTATATGTATGTATGTATGTCTTTGTGTGTGTGCCTTTGTGTGTGTGCATGTTTGTGTGTGTGTGCGTACTACTACTGTTTGTGACGTTTAGTTGTTGAAATTGGGAGCGGTAGTATAAGTCGTTGGAATTCGCATCGTTATTGTTGTTGTACTACTAGACTAGAACTTCTAGAAGTAGTAGTGGTAGTTGTAGTAGTAGTAGTAGTAGTGGTAGTACAATATTATTGTAATTATTATTATTATTGATTATTATTATTATAATTGTTATTATTATAATTGTTATTATTATAATTGTTATTATTATACTATTTAGTAATAAATTACATTTACCCTCGGTTGCTCTGGTTCTCGTAAAGATCGCAAACAACTCAATAATAATGATTTAACGCTCTGGTAGAATTTTTCACTGTGATAAAAAAAACAGTAATATTAAAAATAATAATAAAATAATTGTATTTAAAACAATGATAATAATAATAATAAAACAATTATGATTAAAACGATAATAATAATAAAATAATTATACTTATAGCAGTAATAGAAGTAATAGTGGCAAGTTTAGTATCAGTATAATGTATGATAATATAGTTGTAGTAGTAGTGGTAAAATAGTAGTAGTAGTTGCTGCTTTAGCCACAGCAGTAGTAGTGGTAGTAGTAGTTATAGTGGTTGTGATGATAATAGTAGCAGTAGCAATAGTTCGTGTGAAGAGTTGTTCCCATGAAATTTGAAGAGTTGATGATTTATACTGGCTCTACTCTGCATTACTTGATTTTCCAACCTCTCTCTTTCTTTTCTCTCTTTCTCTCTCTCTCTTTCTTATACTTTCTCAAGCACGCTCTTTCCTTCTCTCTTTCTTTTTTCCTTTTTCTTTCTTTCTTAAACTCTCTCGTTCTTTCTCTTTCTTTTAATATCTCTATTTTATTGTTTCGATTTTTCTCTATTTTATTATGTCTTTCTCTTCCTCTCTCGCTCTCTCTTTCTTTTTCTCTCTCTCTCTCTTTCTCTCCTCTCTCTCTCTCTGTTTCTATACTTTTTTTTCTATATTTTTTTCACTCATTTTTGCTACATTTTTTCATCCCTCACTCAATTTTTTAAACGCTCTTATTCACTGGCTCCATTTTTTTTCTGTCATATTTTTACCATCCATTATTTATTTAGGTAAATTACAACATATAATATTTACTACTACTGCTACTACTACTACTACTACTACTACTGATGCTGCTACTACTACTACTGCTACTACTACCGCTGCTTCTACTACTACTACTACTACTAACTACTTTGACTGCTGCCGCTACTACCACTACTACAACTTCCAGAAAGCAGCAGACCAATTGATAATGGAAACGCGGGCAGTCATAAACGGTATGATCACGTGATTTATTTTATGGCCGCGATGATGATGATGATGATTTTTTAACGATGATGATGATGGTGGTGGTAGTAGTAGTAGTGATAATGGTGGTGGTGGTAGTAGTGATGGTGATTACAATACAATGACAACTGTTATCATATTTTTTGAAGAATCCAACTGTTAGCTGTTGATGGATTGAATAGTGATGAACTTTTTTTAACTAATTTCATTTTTTACTTGTCTGTCTCTCTCTCTCTCTTTCTCTCATTCTTTTTATTTTTTCTCTCTTTTCATGTTTCTCTCTCTCAATCATTCTCTCTCATGTTTGTTTTTTAATTTTTTAATGACAGATTCTCTTCCCTCTGTTCCACGTTTTTTTTTTCAATTTTGTTTTTTTTGTTTCTAGTTTTTGTTTCTTTCTGTTTCTCCCTCTCTCTCTCTCTTTCTCTCTTTTTCTTTATCTCTGTTTGCATGTTTCTTTATCTCTGCCTCCCTTTCTCCCTCTTTCATTATCTCTGTCTTTCCCTCTCTTTCTTTCTGTCTGTCTGACTGTTTCTCTCTCTCTCTCTCTCTCTCTCTCTTTTTTTTCTCTCTCTCTCTCTCCCACAGCCAGCCAGTGATCACGGTCGCGGTCGAGTTGTTTAATTTTTCATTCGGTCATGCGTATCACCTCTCCTCAACACTCATCGGCCCACTATTAATCATCCATCCTTCCTTTCATCATCATCATCGTCGTCGTCGTCATCATCGTCGTCACCATCATCATCATTATAACCTCACCCATAAGCGGCTAATGATGGTATTGAATACTCTTTGCAATGTTTAAAAATCTCTTTTTTAAACCTCGCTAACGATCTGTAATGACATCATCGTGACGTCATATTAAGTCTCTGACCTTTGACCATTGAGTATGTTCGTGTCTATGTATGTACGTGTGTATGTGTGTGCGTGTATGTATTTATGCGTGTATGTATGTACGTATGCATGTATGTATGTATCTATGTATCTATCTATGTATGTATGTATGTATGTTAGTATTTATGTATGTAAATTTTACAATTGAATTCAACAAATTGCATTGCTGTCACACGCACACACACACATATACACACACAAACATACGTACAAACGTACATACACACAAAAAAAACATACATACATACACACATACATACAAACACATACATACATACATACACACACATACAAACACACATACATACGGCTTATGACTTGGTGTTTGTATGGGCAATTATTCATTTTTAGTCTCAAATTCACTTTCCTTTGTTCGCACGGACCCTAGAGATTTCGGCCGGAGCGATATTTTGTACAGATAGAAAGAAGGAAGAAGTGAATGAATGAATGCATGCATGGATGAATGAACGAATGAATGAATGATTGAAAGAATCAATAAATGCATGGATGAATGAATGCATTGATGAATGAATGCATTGATGAATTAATGAATGATTTATAAATGTATATATCAATCGACGGATTAATAAAAAAAATGAATAAATGGTTGGGTGAATGAATGAATGAATGAATGAATGAACGAACCAACGAACGAACCAACGAACGAACCAACGTATGAATGAATGAAAGAATGTGAATGAATGAGTAAAAAAAAATGAAAAAAAATGACTTATTAAAACAAAAATTATGAAAAATGTTTAAAAAATATAAACAAATCAAAAATGATTAATTGAGAAAGCAGGTGATTGATTGACGGAGGAAAAAAATTAGTGTATTCATCTATAAATGAATGATTTATTGTTAAACGAACGAAAGAACGAACAAACGAACGAATGAATGAAAGAATGAAAAAAATTAATGAATGCATAAAGGAAGGAAAAAATGAATGATTGAGTGAATTTTAAATTCAGCATCTTTTAAATCGCTATTTACAACTACTACTATTTCTATTACCACTACAACAACAACTACCACCTCTGTTATTGCTGCAACCGATGCTGCAGCAGCTGCTGCTGCTACTACTACTACTACAACTACTACTACTTTTACGATTGGTTGTTTAAAAACAGACTAAGTTTTATTTAAATTTTTTATTTATTTTTAATTAGAAAGAATGGAAAATAAAATAACATGTATACATATAAATTTACACTTTATATATATATATATATGTGTGTGTGTGTATGAGTGTATATATATATATATATATATTTCTGTGTCTGTCTCTGTGTGTGTGTGTGACTGATTTTTATACATAACATTCCGTTAAAATGAATTTGTTTTTCTACGTATGTATGTATGTATATATATTTTTATATGATACAGTTTTTCGAAAAAAATAACAAATGATTATGCATGTACGTGTGCATGTAAGCTTATGCATGTGTGTATGTACATGCATGTTTGTATGTGCGTGTGCATGTGTAATAGAGGTGAGTGGGAATTTAAATTCATTCCCAAGTCCTTCTCATTCCCGCTTCCGTCCCGAATTCCCATTTGTGCCAACGTTCCAGAAAATTCCCATTTTTTCTATTTTTTTTTATCACAATCTAGCGTTTTCCCATTTAAAGTTATATAGGATTATGCAGAGTTATATAGAATAGTATATAGTTATGTAGAGTTATATAGAGTAGTATATAATTATGTCGAGTTATATAGAGTAGTATATAGTTATATAGAGCTATATAGAGTTATATAGAGTAGTATAGAGTTATATAGCTATAGAGTTATATAGTTATATTGTGTTATAAAGATTTATATAGGGTCATATAGGGCTAAATAGAGTTATATAAGGTTGTTTTAAGTTGTATAGAGTTATATAGAGTTATGTAAAGTTATATAGAGTAGTATAGAGTTATATAGAGTTATAGAGTTATATAGTTATATTGAGTTATATAGATTTATATAGGGTCATATAGGGCT